CGGTCGTGAGGTACGTTAGGTATGCGTCTAATAGACCAGTCCAGCAATCTCTAAACATTATCCTCTCGCAAGTATCGACTATTCTGGTGATCTGCTCTTGCCCGCAAATGGCAGCCACGAAAATCTTCAGGGTCCTGTCGTACATGGTCAACAATGGTTTCAATCCGAGGAGAGCCCGAGCTTGTGCGTTTAGGGTCCTGAACTCCCCGCAGAATTTTATGCTCCCAAGGGTGGAATGCGGCAAGGCCAAGGAATCCCTCCTGGTGAGTTAGTATGCTATACTACCCTCTGTCCTCCGGGTCTCTTTCCCCCCCCCTTTCCCCCCCCCCCCTTTTTTTTGGTGTGTGGTGTGTCATGGTGGGCCCCTTCCTGTAGGGCCGCTATGGTAGCTAGCAGGTGCCCTGCCTAAGGCAGGTACCTGTTACCTGCCTTTGCGGGCCTACCTCCTAGCTGGGATGGGGTGGGTCACACACACACACACACACACACACACACACACACACACACGCACACACTGCCAAGGGGTGTGGCCACATGTCGAATCCGTGCAGATGCAGACTGCTTACCGTAATTCGTTCAGTCGCTTCGGTTTCTGATGACCCCCATAAGGGGTAGCCCTCTTAGCGCCCGCCCCATAGGGTGCCAATGCGGGGCAACCGTCCCTAGGAAGGGGCTTAAAACTCACCCTTTCAGGGGCTGGATGATAAGTAACCCACAAGGGTGGCCCCTACGACTCGACATTGGTCTGTTGCTTCGAGTAAGCCCAGTCCGACATACCCCTCCGATTTTTTGCTCACGATTCGGGCGGTGCCCGGGCCCGGAGCCCAAAAAGACGGCCCTGACCAGCATAGGAGCCCACAGCGCATGCTGACCCACGAACTTACCGTGGGCCTTGACGGCTGGTGATGCGTCGTCCAACCGATGGGTGATTCCCGCCTACCAACCGTACACCGACTTGCAATATATAGATTAATGATGAATCGGTGTTCTCTGCTGACATCACGCGCTGCTTCGAAACGATCCCCATCGACTCCTCTGAGGATGGGTTGGTGGCAGCTGTGTCTTCCTTTGTGAAAACCGGGTTCAGGGTTGCTGCAAAAAGGAGGGACGGTGAATTTATTAAGTGCAAACGCACTAAGGATGACCATTTCCGATGCTCCTGGGATCGTACCCCTGATCAGGTGCTCAGTTCGAGTAGGTTCTGGTTGGACGGTGAATTTATTAAGTGCAAACGCACTAAGGATGACCATTTGTGATGCTCCTGGGATCGTACCCCTGATCAGGTGCCCAGTTCTAGTAGGTTCTGGTTGGACGGTGAATTTATTAAATGCAAACGCACTAAGGATCCTAGGAGCATCGGAAATGGTCATCCTTAGTGCGTTTGCACTTAATAAATTCACCGTCCCTCCTTTTTGCAGCAACCCTGAACCCGGTTTTCACAAAGAAAGACACAGCTGCCACCAACCAATCCTCAGAGGAGTCGATGGGGATCGTTTCGAAGCAGCGCGTGATGTCAGCAGAGAACACACACACACACACACACACACACACACACACACACACACACGCGTGTAGTAGTGTATATTTCGATGTTCTGGCGGAAGATTCGTTCGATTTTGCTCATCCTATCGATGGAAGTGCTCTCTCTCTCTCTCTCTCTCTCT